AGAGTAACTCGTTATTTAAGATTTAGGATACTTATTATATAAGAATTCCTAGTTTTGTACGGAGTAATGTTTAATTATCTTTATTAGATAACAAGTACAGGATTTTGTAAAACATATATCAAACAATATTAAATACCAGACACACTAATTACACAATTTTCAGATCACATGAAATGAATCCAAAATATAAATATTTATAGACATTAGATTACATAATTCATTTACTTCTTGCTTTCTAAAAATAATTTACTGCATGGATAATAAACTTTAAATTATTATAGAATTAATAAAAATATTAAAATATAATATGCACCATGTGTGTGTGTGTGTATGTGGTGCATATTATTCTAAAAATAACAAACTCATACATACTAGTATACTACTATTGTAATATTAAGAAAACTTCTCATGAGTCATGACTCACGACCACCCTCCTTGGTGGACAAAAATTACAATTCAATAACCGATTCATGAGGTTAAACAATGTAGAAATTATTAAAAATGTATTGGTTGATGTTTTTGTCATCGTCTAAACTTAGAATGTAATAGATTTAAATGCCGGTTCGGGATGTGCAAGTATTAATGTCATTTTTTGAATAAAAATACCCGAATAGCCCTACAGTAGCAAAAAAAATTCGCCCCGCTACACTAGGGGAAAAAATTTCACCCCGCTACACTAACAAAAAAAAAATCACCCCCTACACTAACGAAAAATTTCGCCCCCCTTGACTCAAAATCCTGGATCCGTCCCTGCATGGGATCGTGACACTGTGTACACGGGTGTAGCGATCTCAATACGTTATATCATTAAAATCAGCACTACGAAAAGCATCACTCCTATTGTATTGCCCTTTGACGGTCAATACAATAATGAAAACTTGAATAATGGAGATTATCATTGCTAACATAAACTTTAAATGGGCCAAAATTCCCATAAAGTTAAACCGTCCGTTTAACATCTAAAAGTAATTTGGTATAGATTTATTTCATTAAGAGATAATAATGCACTTATGCACCAAAATGCATATAGTACGTACTACGTAGTACGTAGTATTTTTTAATTAGACCCTGACAATATTAATGAGCGTAACAGTAACAATGATAATATAATAATATAAAACCTTCTTTGCAAAATAATGACGGGTCGTGGCCATGAATGCCAAATACCGTAGTGGTGTACGTTGTAAGCAATCTGCATTACCAAAGAGTAAATTAATAGAGTAATACGGAGTAGTAATTGGGAAATGGTAATTTATCTGGCTTGAATATAATGGTTTGCATGCAGTGGCGTATCTAGGAAATGTGGCGAGTGAGAGCAAATTTTACTACAATTTAATGTCATATTTCACAAACAACAAATCACATTATTAATATTGTTTGATTAAATTTAGTTTATAATATCTATGTACAAGTATGAATAACAAAAAGATTAATTTATATTATGGGTGTATAAAGATGTAATTGCAGATAAAATGTAATAAAATTACCTAAATATAAGTTAAACATAACAAAATTTAGTGAATTTTTTAGCCTTTCATTCTTTTAACATTAAAGAAAACACTTTTAATCCTATTTCACAATTCTTTTTCTATATTTAACTCTTATTTTAAGCAATTTCTTGTAAAAATTTGGACATATATATAAAGGTTGAGTTGAGGTTGAGTGGGGGCGGCTGCCCCCGCTACCCTATAGTGGATACGCCACTGTTTGGATGGCTATAAATTAATCAAAAGTCAAAACCCGAACCATTAAAATATTTTGCTAAAGGTTTGAATGGCTATTAATTGTATAAAGTAAAATATTTAATTGAATGAAGAGATGAAGAAATTAAGCTAAGATAAGATCATAAGACCAGTACTTTGGATGGAGGAAGAGAAATACTCCGTATTTAAGAAGAAAAGGCGACCAGCTCAGCTCCTGCCTAGTTCATCAAGTCCGTGTATTTATAGGCGGCAGTTATAACCACTAGCTGCAAATTTATGTGTACCTAGGCACGCTCACCACTCACCAGGTAGAAAAATGGTGTGACGGGGAATGGGAGATGTCTCAAGTTCAATTACAAATAATGATTTGTGATGGAGTCACTCTCATTCCATCAGAACGTAATCTAAACTCAACTTACATCCTTCTAGAAAAAATGTCCGGCTAGTTTTGGAGGGCCTTTAGTGATGAGGTGTCATCATTTTTTTATATAGGCGCATTTTAAATAAAAATACTCCTTCCTCACACAAAACTATACCAAATATATTTATTTAGTTGTCTCAAAGCATTTCCATTTCCATTGAAGTACTCCCTCCGTCCCAAAAACAACTTCTCACTTTCCTTAAATGGTTGTCCCAAAATGAACTTCACACTTCAATACTTTCTTTATTTGGCAAATTATCTACATAAAAAAGTGATAAACAGTGTCAAACAGTGTTTAAACAGTGCACTCTACAGTAAAATCAAATTTATTTTCTAAAAGTGTGTGAAAGTCAAACCGGGAGGTTATTTTCGGGACAGAGGGAGTAATAAATACTAAGTATGTCGTTAAAATTATCACTCTTTTCTACACAAATTTAAATAACACGCTTTTTACTTTATTAGTTTACATGTGAGTTAACATTGGACAAATTTTATTGGACAAGGGAGTATGTACTACGAGTATCGTATAACATTAGCTGTATGGGAAAGGAGAGTTGATTGAGGGGATACAAATTCAAATTTTGGGAGAGACTTGTCAAACTTGTCAAAATGATACACACCCTTGTGGTATGATCCCTTTTCAGCCTGGACTTGCAGGAACGCCCGATGTATACGGGGTTGTCCTTTATGAAATTGATTATGAATTTATGATGATTATATTTTGTTGTATTCACCATATATTGCTATAATATATTGTTGTCCATGCATGTCTATGTTTACCGTTTTCTTTCTTCCGTTTTATACTTTTATGGAATCTATGTGGTGGCGGACTCTTGTTTCAATTTGTTCACATGAACACTCAATTTTTTCAAAAACATGCAAGTATATAGGGAAAATGGAAACTAATAATCCAACCTTTTAGCGGTCTTCTTACAATAGTCCCACTTTTTCGTTATTTATGAATAATCCAACCTTGCACCTCATCTTCATTCACTGGTCCCTGATCGGTTGATGACATGATATTCCAAGATATTTCTTATCTTTGCAAACCATTATACCATAAATCTCACCTTTCACAAAGATAGTATTTTGCAAAGATAAGAAAATAACTTGGAATAACAGGTCATTAACCGATCAGGGACCAGCGAATGAACATGGGGTGCAGAGTTTGGATTATTCTTGAATAACGAAAAAGTGAGACTATTGTAAGAAAACTGTTAAAAGGTTGGATTATAAGTTTCCATTTTTCCAAGTATATATGTATAAATTTAGTATAATTATTCATTTCTCATTACATTTTTAGTTGCAATTAAACATTTTTTTGTGATTTTTTTTTGGGTGATAAACATTGATTTTTTTGCAAATAAACATTGAACACCTAAAATGCAAATTCCAAATCCACTAGTTATCTATGGGCATTAAATAATTGTTTCCGGACGGAATACTAGCACGTTAACATGAAGATGGAAACATGGAGTTGCAAGGTCTTCTTGGTGAAACATTTAAATTTTAAAAGCAACTATTTGATGATCACAATACATTCTATTACATTAAATTGTTCCAGTCAACATCAAGTGATACACAGGAACGAAGAATATAAAGATTCCTAGATACATATAGTGTATGCGACAACAATTTTGAAGTGTAAAAAACATTTATGTTTATTTGATACTACAATTTATAATGTAACAATGAGTATTCTTTTTTTATCCATGTATGTTTGAAGGATGGTTTGGTGTAACTGCTGAAGTGCTAGGGGTAGGTAGTGCTGGACTCGGGCCGGGCGGCCCGGCCCGGAACCGGCCCGGGCGGCCCGGCCCGGTTACTGTTTGGCCCGGCCCGGCCCGGGGCCCGGTGGGTCCACCGGTTCGGTTCGACCCGGCTGCTGGGCGGTTCGGGCCCGGGCCCAGGTTTTGGTGAAATATTTTTAAGTTTTAGGTTGGATTAGGTATTTTGGGTCATTTGAGGTGGTTTGGGATGGTTTGGGGTTGAGGGGGAGGGGATTAAATAGGAGAACAAAAAAAAAAAGTGGGCCGGTTCGGCCCGGCCCGGTTTGGCCCGGAACCGGGACCGGAACCGGCCACCGGCGGTTTGGGCTCGGGCCTCCCTTTCCTGGCCTGAGGCCCGGCCGGGTCCAGGCCCGAACCGGCCCGAGTCCAACACTAGGGGTAGGCAAGGATATACTGGAACGGGTCAGCTCGGCCCGGCCTAACCCGACCGCTACTTTTCAATGCTAGTCCGACACTCCGGCCCGGGGACTGACCTGGTGGCCATAAGGGCGGGTTTTGGGCTTGTTTTTTTAATTTGGACCCGATTATATTTTTTTAATTTATTGCCCAATCCCGCCCGACCCGGTCTCGGTAAAATCCCAGATCAGTACCAGACCTGAATTTCTTAAGCCAGCCCAGGCCCAACCCAGTCCACCCCTAGGGATAGGGGAAATTAAAATCGAAGTTGCTATTTTTAAGTGACAACTTTTATTTACATTAAACCTTTTAAAACTAAAAGCATGATACAGATGCCAAGTATTTTAAATTGTTCTTCCAAAAAAAAGTATTCTAAATTGTTTTTCACTTGTATTATACAAAAGTACTTTATTCTGCATTGGCTTGTAATAGCTGCTAGTACGAATCCAATTCCACATAAAGCTTTACAACGCGGCTTCTCTCATTCCTCAATTCTGAAATGATCATTCTTTACACTAATTATAAAACAAAAGAAAAGAAAAGAAAATTCTAAAGTAAAGGTGACATCGATGATGTAGTAATGGACTTCTCAAGTTCTCAACTACATATTTATTGCTCCGTAAATTTCAACCCCTTTGGTAGATTTGATTGAAATGACTATATAAAATTCATTTGAAAAAATATAGATGGAAAGGAACTAATATTTAAAAGATTGTATTTCAACAAAATGCATATACATAACAATAACAGATTTTGCAAAACATTTTATACTACTGGAGTCAAATAAGCTAGCCTTGAGTGAAAGATTGGGTGTATGAGCCAAAAAAGTGGAGTACCAACCAAGCTCACAAACTTAACCTCATCCATATTGATAGCATTTTATTGGAAGGTCTATAGAGCTACAAAATTTTCCTTGGTACCCTTTGGGGTTTCAATCCTTTCTGATTGAGATACAAGTAGCTGATGGACTCTGCTCTTCAACTGCATTGGCCAAAAACGAAAAAATGCAGTAATTACGTAAACACTAATAAACACAAATAGTTGCAAGCTCATTTGTGTCCACAAGTAGTAATCAATGCAGACTGCGGAGTATAAAAAATGTTCATCATAAAACTATAAAAGGGTGAATCAGAGTACTGACGTCATTAAGCCCGATTTCGCTCTTCACGGACACGTGTAACGCCCCGTCAGGTCCCATTTTCCTGTACTTTACAAGCTCGGGATGGTCTGTTTTGCTATCTTCTGTTACAAAGATGACAGAAGATTCTTGCAGCAGGTCACATTTAGAGACAACATCAAGCCAGATGTGATTACTAAACCTGCCCCTTATTTCCTTATAAATCGCAAACTGCAGCACAAAACATAAAGAGCAATCAACTCCAAGTTGATGACAAAGAGTAGCCCATCTAGATCATTTATGATTTGTTTGGACAAAGAGGGATTTAGCAAAAAGAATTTTGAGAGCACCGGACATTGAGTAAATCTTAGTGTGTTTGCAATGAGATCAGAGGAGAAAAGGTTCAATTTTCTTGTAAAGACATACTCCATTTTTATCATTAATTTTGTGCAGATCTTGTTAGGTAGAGAAAGAATAGCAAGGTTAAAATGGTAATTGCAGCAATTTTTATCCCATATCCAACTATCTCTTCAATACTTTTCTCTTCATCAAAACACCAAACTTTTTTATTTTCTGATTATCTCCCTCACTTTCTTTGCTACTCTTTCCTTCCCAAAATTATCCTAAATAAAGGTTTAGAGAAACTGGTGCTCTTTATTGTCCTTCCACACAAGACTACAGAATTCATAACTAGAGATAAAAAACACTTGCTAATATCATTGACACACAGGGTCTAAATTACAACAAAAGTTGTTAAACTCGAGATCCTCCTAGCACGGATCAGAAGAGGATATGGAGATTGTAACTCGGGGGGTCATAAGATCCTAGAATTATAGCTGCCAAGCAGTATTTACATCTATATGATTACTCCAATAATTTAAAACTTTATTATAACTCACCCATAATAATTAGCATTAATAACATACAACTTTTTATGTATAACCATATAGACTCTACTATGGAGTCATGGATATATCTTTATCATAAGTCATAACCATTCATTTTTATAGTGAAAGACTCCATTATAAAAAAGTGTGGTTGCGATGGAGTCACATAGGTCTATATGACTCCATAGGGGAGTCATATATGAGTCCACAAAATTTCCCTAATAACATAAATACACAATGTCAAGACTCAAGACAATAAATTAAAAGATTTAAGAACCAAATAAAACGAGTTCAAGATAGAACGCAAAACATTTAAACATAATAATATGTCGACACAGTAATGGGAGGAAAACATTTAGAGAGAATTCTTTAGCAGATGAAGAAAGGCTGAGAACAAAGGGATCAAATCGAAAGGCTAATCTGCTATGGATTACAAGATGCAAATGAGAGACTTTTATAAGAGTAATAAGCACTCTGGATCCTTGTATAAGTTTTGAAGAACAGAAAGGATGCAGAGAAGAAAAGCTGATCCGCTGATGAATTAGAAGATGTAAATTAGACAGACGTTTATAACTACAATAAGGAGTCTGGATCCCTGTTTAACATTGCAATCTCATTTCTTAGAGTTTCCAAGCATCTGGAGTATGAATTCCATTTGAGCAGCCTGACGCTTCACAAGTCTTTTTTTCTTCAAAATTTCCTTCATTTGATGTACTAGACCGACTCTATGCTGCTGTACCACCATTACCCTTGAGCAGATTGACTTATTGCGCCGATCCTGCGCTCTTATGATCTTTCTCAAGCTGATGGTATTTTCGGATTTTTTCCAATCTAACTTATGACCCAGGTCGTCCATAGCTCTCCTACTCGTAAGATCAGAAGATCTAATGAGTTACGCGCGATCTTAAGTCTTAACAACCTGGACGTACACTGTTAATATTGAAGAAGAGAAACTCTAGAGTTCATCAATAAGAACTATCTTATATATACAGCCTTAGTGAACTTGAAGCCAGATAAGTCTAATATTAATGCAATTTGCTTATGTACCTGATCGGAAGGTGATGTTCCACACTCTCCGGATAAATCGTGGACATAAAGTACAGCTGTCGGCAAGTGACTCAGAACAGCAATCGTCAACTTCTCCAAATTATTCCTGTCCTCTGCATATTCACTCAAAGGATATCAAATACAATTCTACAAAACACAAAATCTAACTTCACCTATTTCATTAACGGCGAACTAATTATATTGTCAGACAAGATTTTGATGTATAAGAATAAAACAAAAATTGCAACCAGTAACAGAGGTTTTTCTATCTCCATCCCTCTGTCTCTCAGAGTCTCAGTATTTCATATACAGGGTTTTCCCTAAAATATTACTTAAATAATATTTATGGGTAAAATGTGACTAAAGTTGCTCTGAGTATAACGTCATGGTTGCTACAGTTTAAAATTGAACAAAATCATAGTCGCTAAAAATTACTAATATAATCATTGAGTACAAGAGGTCACATTTTTGTACACCATCTTTATTGTAGTCATTTGCAAGTCATTGTTTCATATAAGTATGTGTATATCCACTCGAGTCATACCATCACGCCGCCTCAAGATACCAGGGGTATCAGTAACCTGAAGACAAAATTATGGTGTAAGTGAAGTATAGCAAAATTACACAAATATTGGTAAAATTTACTGCCTCCCATACAAGACAATAAATAGTAACCTGAAAATTCTGGTAGCTCAAAGTAATATGCCCCATTAAAATTCCTCGAGTTGTAAACGGATAATTGCAGATCTGAAATTTATGAAAAATATGGGTCCATAGATTAATAATAGGAAGAGTGAAAAAAAATCTAAGGCTTACAAAAAGAGTACTTGAAAAACTGTGCACCTCTGGTTTCCCGGTTGAAAGTACACGAACCAACGACGATTTACCAACATTAGGAGCGCCCACAAGACAAAGGGTTGGAGTTTCCAAATCAATAACTGGCATTGCTCTCAATGTCTACACCCACAGTAACAGTCATTAAAAAGGAAATTGCTAAAGTAAGGGCATATTGCAACTCTCTTCTGATTGCCACTTGAAAATACAAAGTCAAGGAAATTGCTAAAGTAAGGGCATATTGCAACTCTCTTCTGATTGCCACTTGAAAAGGAAGCAATTTTGTAATGAAATTTCATTTATTTGCATTATACAAAACTCTACCAAGTGCTTCATGTTTCCCATGAGGCTATGACATCTTACCTTGGCAATGTCCATCAGCTCATCAACAGCTTTTCCTTCACTTTGAAAAATGTCTTCAAGGTTTTTCATTCCCTGTAATCCAATTAATATTCGGGAAACAAGTTTCAGAAATAATTGGACAAGTTACTCATTCCACGTCTTATTCTTAAAAAAATGAGTAATTATGGACAATTAAGTCATTCAAAGTGAAGAAATGTGTTGACCTCACTCAATCGCTCCTCCGCTTCACGCTTTGTCGATGACTGCAAAAGTATGTGAAATTTTAGCTTTCACCTTAACACTAGAGATGTCAATGGAAAAGGGACAATGCATGGTCAACTGGAAAAAAAAATCAAATTAAAATAGCCTACTAAAGTAATGAGATCAAACAGGTAAAGGAAAAGTATTCTACCTTGGCACAGAGAGAGGCATGTTCTTTTCCAACTGACACAACCTTCTTCCTCAATGCATCAATCTTTCTCAAAGCCTGACAACAATAACAGCAGCTATTAATAAAACGAAGTCACTAAGATGAAAACTTAAAACTGTGGTCACATTTGAAGCATTACCGCTTCATAGTTTCCATCTCCTAGTGTCAACTCAATCAAAGATCTTTCATAAGGATGCAAACACTGTTTTATTGGGAAAGTCTCCTTGTATGTCTTCAATGGAAGAGCTAGCTCCTACATACGGAAATAATATGAAGCTCTTTTTCATTTGAAACAGCCAAAAGCATAAGCTTCATCTGCACAATTTAATTAATCTTTTTTAACCTTCAACAGCGCATCAAGTTGTTTTGCACCTCGATTTCTCTCTCGCTTTGCAATATTAGCAATGCCTGCTCAAAAAAAAAACATTAATGCCATGCCAAATTTTCTATTATCTTTGTCTTAGGGCTTGTTTAGAATCTGGGAAACGCTAGTTAAAGAAAATGGGCTGAATATAGAGGTATAATCAGGAGCAAAGTAAATTTGGGGAAAAAGTGGTACAAACCCAATAAAACCTTTTCAGATATTTCTTCAAAATCATTTTACTTACTTATTTCTATTTTATAAAGACTAAAAATCTTAATAGAAGTGATTTTTAGAAAAAGTTTTATTCAAATTTCATTTTTCTTCATATTTTTCAAATTGAACACTATGGGTCATCCGGAAACAGTCTCTTTGTGCTTTAGTACAATGGTAAGACTGCGTACATTCGACCCCCCTTACCTCACCGTAGGTGGGAGCCTTTGCGCCACTCGGGTAATGATGATGATGATGATTTTTCAAACTGAAACCAGACAAAAAAATGTTCATTTTCCATTTTTTCTCCTCCCTACCATTTTCTAATTCAAAACACGGGCTTAAATGCTTAATCAAGCTGGTGTTTATTACTAAATTAAACATCTGATATTAGACTGCTTGCAAAACAACCAACCTTTTGTAGGTGAGACCCTCTTTGCTTTCCTCAGTGCCGAATATAATATATCCACTGATGGCATTACCATGGGTAACTTTTTAAAGGCACCCGTGTTTTCTAATGGGGTAGTTGATTTTACCTGAAAGAAAAGATAAATTGCATCCAATTGAATGCAAAAAAACACCCCATTACAGTGGGTTTACAGCCAATGCCAAATCAATATGTTTCTGATGGAGGCCAAAATGAGACGGAGTAGGATAGATTTGCAATAATAAATAGTAATGATGATTATTAAATTCTAGAAGAACAATAAATGCCCTAAAGGCCATTCAAGGGGTCACTTTCTGAACTTTAGACGCCAGTGTGAAATATAGATTCAGAGACATGATTGCAGGGGATAAGGATGACAAACAGTTTCCTTCCAAATTCTAATTGTGCAGCTCATGGATTTACTGGACTAAGAGAAACATAGGGTCTATTTCAAACATGGATTTGGAAGGAAATAAAATTTTGAGACAAAGGGTCTATTGGCTCAGACTTCAAACTGAATAGTTTTTTTAATACAACAACAACATCCAAGCCTTAGTCCCAAAAGATATTGGGGTCGGCTAACATGAATCGATACATGATATCACCATCAAAAGGAAAAGAAAGAAAATAAAGATAATACTATTAGAGATGAATATACCTAAAAATGATCAAATAAAATGGATAAAAATAATGTTTATATATATAAGGATAAAAGAATAAAAAAACAAGAAACAAAGATGAGGGAAAATAATAAGAAGTGCCAATATTTGTTCAAAATCATTTTTATAAATACTAAGAAGTTCTTCCTTACAATTTCCTTTCCTAGCATATTCCGAGTCCAGATATAGCCACATTAAACCTTTGCCCAAGTGCCAATACACAGAAAGATACTTACTCTTTCATCCAGTTTAGAATCATGATTCGGGATGTAGCTTCCATTTACAACTTCATAAGCAGTGGTTTGCACCTGCTTGCACAAGCATGACATGGGATGCATAACTCTTCCAATCACTGTGTACTGACCTATTCCAATTGAATCATGATAAGAGAAACATAAACGAGAGAAATTCAGAAATTAAAACATAAATACTGAATATTTACACTGAAACGTGCAGATATGCATGGATTTCAGTATATGAGAGAGAGAGAGAGAGAGAGAGAGAGATGGTACTTTTGGGGAAACTGCAGCTCCTGAGTAAGCGTGTGGATGAAGGATGTTGCCATAGCTGTGACAGACTTGATATCCCACTCATTCCCTTCCTCAGGGCCGGTCCTGAGAAATTGGGGATCCTATGCAACAAGAAAAATTGGGTCTTTTTTCAAGTTCCAACACAAGTAATTTTTATTAAAATACAACTTACCACAATGATCTAGTATTTCAACATTATTTTCAACATCTACATCATGCTCTTCACCCTATTGAACCCTCTAGCTTCTTTAATACTTAATAGGAGTAATAAATTTATAAGAGCTCCTTTTTTAGACAAAGTTAACTTTTCAATTCTTCTTTTCTTTTGAAGTTTCTCATTACAACTCTTTGAAACATATTTACTACCAAATATTAATTATTCAAATTCTCCCCTAATCATGTACATGTTAAAAAAAGATAAAATTTAATTTCCATTATTCAAATTCTTAATTGAATAATTTTTAAACACACTTATTCTCAATTCAATTACTTAATAAGTACTACCTCCATCCCCTAAGTTTCTCCGTCCCCCTAAGTCAGTCTGGGACAAGAGAAGTTGGCACTGTTATTAATAAAAATTGGTTTAATTACAAACTTAGTGGGACGGACAGAAAGGGTAAAATGAGACAATCCGGGACGGAGGGAGTAATAAATTACTACAATAGATAAACAAACCACAACAACGGCCACAAGGCAAGTAGGCAACAAAGAACTAATTATTAAGTGATTCAAAGAATCAAAGTCTCAGAGAAATAAGAAAATCTGCTTAGTTGCTTACCGACGGGTAGCAGCCCTAGAGTGGAAAGTGGACTGCCGGACTGGTGCGGTCGTGGTCCTGGAGGCTGGAGGCGGTCAAGCGGGGCGACTCTGCGTGGTGCGAACGTGCGGTGGCGGCGGGCTGGAGGCCTGGAGCCTGGCGCTGGCTGGAGGCGGTCGTCGGAGGCTTTTTCTTCCCGTTCTATATTTCCTTCGCCTATTCCCAGTTCAAAGCTTCAGACTTGCGGTTCCCTTTGTTCGCGCTTCGTCGGAGGCTGGTATACAAAGACCAAAACAGGTCAAAGTTATATAAATAAAATCAGATCATACCTGTAAACCTGTAAATTACAGTCCCAAGAAAACATACTAAGAAGCTGTTCTCTTCATCTTAATCTTATTCATTATTTCTTATTCTTATTTTATTCAGATCAGAACAGATCAGAAAAAGTCATATCAGATTAGATCATAAAGATTCAGATCAGATCAGATCAGAAACATTCAGATCAGATTAGATCAGAAAAATTCAAACATGATTAATCACTTTTATTATTATATTAATTATAATTATTATATTATAGTTATTGTTAATAATATTATTAAAAATATAGTAATATAATAAGAATAATAATAATAGAATATAATAATAATAGTAATCATATAAATATTATTATTATTATTATTATAGTATAATAATATAATATATTAATAATAATAATATAATAATAATATAACAATAGTAATTATATTAATATTATTATATAATAATAATAATGTTATATTATTATTATTGTTATAATAATAATAAAATTAATAATATATTTTTTTATTATAATATTATTATTTTTATAATATAATAATATGATTATAATTATAATAATAGTTATTATTATTGTTGTTGTTGTTGTTATTGTTGTAAATATTATTATACGTAGTAATTGTATTTCTATTTATAAATTATAGAAATAAACATTATAATTATAATTACAATAATAATTATATAAGTAATTATAATTAAAAATATAATAACTTTTATACTTGTATCTATAGTTGTAATTAATGTAATTGGTGAGGATCGGAAGCGGTCCAGCTCAGCTGGTCGCCAACTCACTCTCCCTTATGGGAGGTCTCGGGATTCGAAACTCAATGGAGTGAGTTTCAGGCCAATTTACTCTAGGCTCCCCCAGACCCCCTCCCCCAAAAAAGCCCTCTAGAGTTAAAAAAATAGTGTAATTGGTATAATTATTATAATTTTAAATTTAATTTTAATTATAATTATATTTTTTAGAATTATGATTATAATTATGATTTTATTTAAGTTATATTTGTAATTACAATAATAATTATAATAATTATAATTATAATTTTAATTTTATATATATATATATATATATATTCAAATCAAATCAAATCAGAAAGATTCAGATCAGACCAGAAACATTCAAATCAGATCAGACTTGTTAGAGAGATTCAAATCAGATCAGAAAAATTCAGATAAAAAACATTCAGATAAGGTGAAGAGAACAACTTCTAAGTTAATGTTTGAGAGTATATTTCGAGAATAATGTTTAAGAAAATATTTACAAAATTGGGGTCACTTTTAGATAAAATTCGATAATATGCCCCTCTCTCGCAACTTCAACTTCTCATATGTCTCATTTGATATCACAACTAAAGTTTTTCATTTTAATCTTTGAAAATAATTAACATTCCAAAATGACAATGTATAATCAAATATTAAAAATAATACATTTATAGCATTATATTCCATAATAATCATCATTAATTTCATTATATTATACAAATACTAAAACTTCTATGGCAGAGTCATTCTCGTCATTGATCCTTCCATTCTTAGCATAAGTATCCATAACTTGATCCACACTTACAGGATCTAGTTTCGAATTTTCAGCCTTTTTTGCTGGAGATGAAGATGGCCCCTTCGGAACTGCTGCAACTGATACAGAAGGCTGGACCTATTATATACAAACTACAAGTCATCATATGTTGATGCAAAGTATAAGAACAAAATGAAAACTATGCAACTGCATAACCTAAATCAATATGTAACTTAGATGCACCTTTTTCTGTGAACACTGTTGAAAACTTGACAAGTTGAGCCGTGGGCAATCTGCCAGCTTCCGTATCTTCTGTGCTTTTGACATCGCATTTAGCCGGTCATTTACTGGAGAAATTCTCCAAGTAACCTCATCACCTCCATCATCCTGGCTTTGCTTTATCAACTATCACATGTACCAACAAAAATTTATATCATAAGTTAACTGGTATTGAACAGCATTGGCAACTATAACTATGCAGTGCATGTAATATTATTCGCACAAAAATACTTCTTCTACATCTTTGGATCACAATGAAAAGTGTGCATACCTTTCCAATCAATTCTGTCACTAAAATAGGGAACCCCGAAAACAGTGAAATGCAATAGATCACCACTATTGCAATTTCATCTGCCCCTAAAGCAACTTGGTCGTAAATGAAATAATTGGTTTTCTATGCTAAGTAAAGCCAGTGACACGTGACTACAATCTGGAATCATTGGCACTTTATGGTGGCTAGTAAAATGCAACTATTATGCGCATCACATGAGAAACAGAGCTTATTACCATTCCTGGAGAAAACTTGAACCTCTTTACAGATGTCGACTTGCAAATCTCAGGTGTTACCTCTTCTTCACTGGCTTCCTCTCCAGCTACAACAGCTAGTAAACTGCCGGAGGGGGTATTCTGTGATGAATTATTGTTATTATTAGGCCTGCTTCCTTGTAAACCTGCACCATTTTTTGGACTTCCCATTTCAATGACCTTTAAGTTCAAATCTTCCCCTGACTTTTGACAAGTGCTATTTTGAATCAGAACTTCAGTGTCAGAGGACGAAACAGCACCATTCAGATTCACTTTCTTCAATCCCATCACATTCCCACCATGTTTCTCAACCTCATCAATGATTTAGTGTTTTTTGTTGATGAAGTAAGCATGCTCCACCCCCAAACTAGTGGAGTCAAGAGCACTTTCGGGGTTTTGACCAACAGTAATCCTTTCATTCGTATGATCATGAGCATTAAGGTTTGCTGGTTTGATACCATTTGGAGCCCCCGAAGAAGCATGAATATCTGAACCCGAACTGTGTGAATCAACCCCATCCTTGGGTTTCTGTGAACTGACATTCTGGGTGTGGCGCTCAAAGAAATGCTGGATCCCAAACTTGGGCGGCTCAGATGGTGGCTGCTGGTTCTGGTTGCTCGATTTCTTAGATCCCCCAGAACTTGTTCTCTTCCTTGGAGGCATTCTCCAAGTAAAAGCTGCCTCCTTTCTATCCTTGTCTAGGGATCGTCCTCATCGATCATCCTCCATTGCCTATGAAGGGAAACTAACACGTTGGGTTTGGAGATATATGGGACCGGTTATATATTAGGGGAAGCAGATGCAACCTTTTCTTTCCCGACCAAATGACAACAAGATCACCACTCTACTCCACCACAATTCACCATTTCAATCTCTATACAGAAGGTTTTCCGTACCAGCTTCTTTCTTATCAGCAATGGAAGCAATCGTCCCTGCCGTTTTAAAAAAAAAAGACCCCCTCTGCGTCTCTGCCCATTCACAAGGAGTGATTTTTGGTCACCCAATCATTCATTTCAGAGATTTAATCAGTGTTTGTCGTCCTCTTGCCGGTTTGGATTCAGATGTTCTGTGCTCTTTCCCGCCAATAATAGTGAGAGATATTTTTTGAGAAAAATGTCAGTACATAAAGTTGTATTAAGGGGAGTAAAAAGTACCTCATCTTACATTTGATACAAATTAGTACTTAAATTTGATTTTATGGTGTTGATGGAGTACACTTTTTAACTTGACGTTAAAAATTGCCAATGTGGTCAATTTAGTCGTTTCTTTTTTTATACGTTGGACTCCAACTCAGCAACAGAGCATTCCTGCGATATATCTAGCCCTAATTTGTGTACCGGTGTTCGCATATTCATCCCCAACCTTCTCGTGCGATTTTTATTCTTCACCATCTTCTTCCTCTGGATGCTTTGGGTTATTTTTTTCCCAGCAACGAATAGTAGAGTGTTGCTTACTCTTTCGCTTATGTACTGGTCAAAATTATACTTCATCTGTTAATGTGGAAATTGTTTGAGAAGTTAGTAATTCATCCGCTGAGAATGTAATTACACAAATTGAAGAGGCCCAGAAATATAGACAAGTCAAAAACAGAGAAAGGCAGCAATTCTATATCGTTCCATGATGAAAGAACATACTTTTTAGTTATTTGGGAGTAATAAAAGACATGCTACAGGTCTGGAGAGGTGCAGCAGAGAGTACCCTGTGAACAGTATGTTTGCACTAGAGTGTTTTTAGAAAGTAGACATGCTAGTTGCAGGTCTGCTAAGGAAGATAAATAAGCTACAGGCTCTGATTGAGGAGAAAAAAGGAATCAGTGATTGATGTTGTAAACTTAGTAATTAACATATGTATGTGTGTAGTTTAGTATGATTTATGATGACATTTTATGACAATGGTTTTGTATTTTCAATATAATCAAGTTTATGTTGATTGTAACCATGGTATTCTTATTTCATTATGAAGAAGTTTATGTTATTTGTGACCATTTAACTGTGCAGGACTAGTTGAGCATGAGTGCTCACTTTTTGTAATTTGTGCTGATGAAAACTGAATTGCCAAATTAAAATGACATAGTACAGTAGGTTAAGTGTCTGCAATTTACACTTCAAACATATAAAGAAACACACATTAAACACTAAACCTGGAATTTACACTTCAAACAAAAACATGACCAAAGATTCAACATCAAAACTGCATTACCAAGTTAACTGCCTCCACTTTACACTCTAAACAAATGGTTACACATCCAACACTTGAGTCTTTGAAGTGTCTGCAATTTACACTTTTCCAATTTGGAGAAAAGTGACTAAATGGCACAACTGATAATATGATATTATACAGGTTAGGAAAAAACATCCAATACAAATTACTCCTAGATGAAATATATACATTTGCATACATAAAAAAAAATAAATGATGTTATTCATAAACTGAGTACCTACCTCAAAACAAGCTAACTTGAGCCAAACTAGCCTAAAATAATTGAGGTGAAAATTTAATAGGGTTGGTTTGGATGGTAAAATTAACAAACATACATTTACTGATTGGTTTTACAATTTGGCCCAACCGTCCAATCCAGGCCATGCATAAAATATTCTTATGACATGAACAAAACAGGATTCCTTATCACAATATCACCAACTTCATTCAGGGGTTACGAAGTATGTGACCAGGGATTTTAGGGTTAAAACAAACTTACTTTAGGGTTATGCATTTTATAATTTCAACTATGAATTCCTCATAAATTAGGGATAAAACAAATTTCACAGATTAATTGTACTTGTAAGGATGGATAGAGCATATATACCAAAGTATTATTAGGGTTATCATATCTTTCATTCGAGTTCTCTTGGTCCATCTTCGGATTACTCTTTCAATCGTGGTTACTCTTCCTCTTTAGGCTATGAACATCATCGCTGCAATCTTTCTCAGTCGTAAGAGCCAGAGTTAGGGTTCACAAAGTGTAATAGGGAAGGAGTTAACGGATGATGTGGACGTAGTTTGGACAAATCGGTATTTCCGTTTGCCAAGTCAGCTACATTAACACCTTAATATGACGAATGTACCAATTTGACACCAAAAACACAATTACATGTACTTTCGGGTAGCATTTACAATATGAGGTACTCTTTCCTCCCTCTAATACAACTTCATGTACTGAATTAATACTTACCTCGATATTTTTTTGGTTTACGGGGGAGAACTTCCGATTTCTTTGGGGTCGGAGTTACCCTTCAGTTTACACCACGAGGAGTACAACACCACTCCAAGTTACTCAATCCTTCGATTTTTCTCAATTAATCCAGTGGGGATCAAAGGGTACTCTATCTATCTAACCACACTTTAGGATCCGAACAACTGTTCTCCTAAGTGTTTACAACAATTTGTGAAATGTTACAAGAAACTTCTAACCTCCAATTAGGAACTAAGCTCCAATAGTATGAAAGTGTTGATCTAATCTAAGAACTTAGTGAAGCATGAGTCTAAGCAGAGAGTAAAGTTGAGTTTGCACTTTCTTTTTTGCTAGATAGCTCGTATATGCTTTGATGGAAGTATTTCTCTACTTATGATGCTCAAGCTTGGTTGGAAACTTTCGTTTCAACCTATACTTATAGGCTACTCCAGTTGATTAATTTCATCCGTATGTTAGGATGGATTAATCTTGTGCGTTGAAGGTTTGACAAGGACGAATTGTACATGTGTCTTCTTGTGCTGGAGCTTTTTATGCGGCTGTCTCCAATAAGTGGCTGTTGGGAGTTCACTTCAAGTGTGCGTCCCATGCTGTAGGTCCTTGTACCTGTTTGAGTATTTAATGTTGATCAAATTTTGTCTCCAATCATATACATTCAATGTATATGTTGTGCGTGTGTAATATAATTTTTGTGACAATTTAATTTTTGTGTAAATAAATTTATACTGGTAGAATTTCAATATCCTATTAAGATAAAAATATCTTATTGCATTTTTGAATTTCCAGTATAATTTACTAGTCACAAAAATTGTACATGCATTTGTCACATTATGAATTAATTCTAGTACTAAAGCTTAAATTGAATGACACACAATGTACAGGTGCTAAGTATAGTGGCATCATCAAAATCTATCCAAATTGGGTACTAACAATTTCCCCCTTTTGATGATGCCAAAACTATACAACACAAGAAAGAAATGTTTTTATTTATTGAGATTAATGTACATTGGTCTAATGTCTGAATTACAATAGTTTTTAGCCGAGGTAGATGGGCCTATATGATATGGATCTATCCTTTGGGCTCTATCCGATTCGAACAAACAGAGCTGCAACTTTTTGGCCGAGATGGGCCATAATGGGGCCAGGGGCCTTTAAGTGGAAACTCGGAGATACTATGCCCGCTAAATTTCGAGGAATCATCAAGCTGGACTCGTCATTTACACCATATATATATTAATATAGAACCTATTTTCATATTGTTTACAAGAGGTTTTGTTTTCATATTGTTTAAAAGAGGTTATGGTATAGCCCCCCTCTTTGTTTTCATCTTGTTGAGGTAATAAAAGTCGGTGCATGTCCCCTGGCCCGGGCCGAACCGAGTCCAACTCTAGGCCCGACCCGGACCCGTTTCCAGGTATCAAGAGGACAAAAGAGTGACTCAATTATCCAGAAAAGTGGATGTGGATTTAGTAATTGATATTAATTGATAAAGTAAGAATTAAGTAAAAATGATTTAGAACAACACAAATATGGGACAATTTAAATGAGACTTTCTGAAAAGGAAAAAATGGCCAATATAAATGGGAGGGAGTACTAAATAGGTAAATAGATATAATAATTGTTTCTTATATAAAGTACACTTATATATAAGTTGGCAATATAACAGCGGAAATAATACACCAGCAAGAATTATCAAGTACTCGTCTACTAAATATTAAGAAACGATTTAATTGGCAATATTCTATAATGTGTGGACAACACTATCTGGTAAATCAAATTTCTTCTCCATATGTCATGCCACTCATGCGTCTCTTTAAACTTTTACAAGAGATGGTGAAGATGGCATCATTTTCTGGAATATAGAAATAGCGATAGATTAGTAAAAAAACACAGCCAAAATAATACGTACTCCATTACAGTCAGACTGGACAATACATAGAAACCATTGTTGAATTATTAGAACTTCTAGTCAATCTTTTAAACACGTATTGTTCATTAAAAACCAATCAAGCCTGTTTATCAGATTTTCAAAGTACACAACTAGGCCTCACAACATATCACAAAGTTCACTGAAGGCTATTTATCTGCTTTTCCACACAATCAAGTGCATATTTACTGTATTTCTAAGCAAATCAGACATATAATTTCACACCTGATCAAATTTAATTTTTCAGGGAAACAGGCAACATAATAGTCTGAGCCTTTTCAGGGAGGCACTGGCAACAACTAATTGTCTGTCTGCTGCAGCCCAAACTAAATTACTTTTAAAAAACACTGTGGATGTTTACAATATAAACTTGCAAGGAATATACTTGGACAACCCTTTGTACTTCCTGCTTTTTAAACGAAGGCAGTTTTCTTCTCTGTGGATAAAAAATTATTGATCCTTCTTTGTTATTTATACACAGTGGAGGGGTATAATACGTAATGGGAGGTTTTGACACCTTACTACATAGTGGATGCAAAATATTTTTAATATACTACGCATTATTTTATTGTATTGTTTGTTAGTTATACACACTGTTATTATCATGTCTGCGGGAGATATATCAGACCAACGTGGTGACATGGGGAAGATATTTTAGAAAATACTTTGTTTTAGTAGTACGTTAAATGCAAATTGTGGCCAAGAAACTACTGGAGGAGTTGGTAGATCTAGCAGGACTAAAAGTTTAATAAATTAGAAAATGTTTGTTTTGAATGATGTTCGAACACACCTTTTGGGAGGGGTTTATGACTTCAGATTTGAATGTTTCATTATGACATTAGTGGACCTTTGATTATTCTTTTACTTTATTAATTACATTACGTGTTCTTACTTGATATAAGCTTGTGTAAAAGTTGAGGCTTAGGCCTTATTGCGCAATGAGGCTATGCTAAGATGCCACCTCAAACACGCAATACGCAATTTTGAACCTTGATGTAGCCTACCTCACATCCAGAGTGTGTCTTTAACCTTTCAGGGTCTGATCCTCAACATGGAGTGACGTCTTGCTCAGATGTCTTCAACAGCTCGTTGAAGCAATCAGCCTAATTCATTAGAAATTGCAAGAGAATTGAGATTTAAAAATAATGTATTTAAAAAATGATGATACTATATAACATTCACAGACCTGCTGGCGTAAGGAATGGAGTGTTTTCTTCAATCCACTCCAGCTGTGTTTCTCCGGGTCCATGTTGCCTGTGAGGGAAACATTCTAAATTGAACTTTAGTTAGATCCCATTAAAACAGCAATTAAAAAGATACTTATCTAGCCAATAAACACACACGCATAAACACACATTACCCTTTCATATTGTTTCCAAAACTGCCTTCTGATTACAATCATTTTCGTGCAAGTTTCAACAATATCGTTATACTCTTTACAGATCAAGTTGACATACTTGGGATCAATTATTGGCATAGCCTTTTCAATTTCTTGACATATCTCATCAACAGGCAACTTCTGTAAACACTATAGTAAATGACACTTCACAATTAGTCCATCAGATAAATAAAATAAGACGATAAAAGTATTGACTGCAAGTTGATAAGTTAACCTTAATTTGGTTGACAATGTGTGACTCCGAGATTGAAACATCAAGCGGTCTTTCTTCTTCTTCAGCAAGTCTCTTGTCTTCTTCATGGTTTTCTTCGATGCCTTCAAACTCTTTGAGAATGTGCACGAGATCCTTAAATTTGGTGTCTCCATAATGATAACACTGAAACAAGAAAATCCACAAAAAAAACACAGCAGTTCAATGACAAATAAATTGCAAACTTACAAAAGCGGTGAAATACATGAATTGTTTAGGCAAAAATCTCTCTTCAACACAAGGTTTTCATGACAGGTGATGCGGGATTGATAAGACTTCATATTTGAAAGAAAACGTGTGGTTGAAAGCTATACACAAATCACAACAAAAACATTACGATATCCAGTAATCCAATTTCTTACAGCAACTTCGATCTCGTGCTTGAGAGAAAGAATATCAGCATAAACAGCGTACTTTGCAGCGCAGTCTGTTAGAGAATTTTCTAAATCTTGGACATCATCATCACCAATAAAATTAACACCCACTAGCTTTTGAAGAATTTCAAAATATATCTTTTTCATATCATCTGCTGATTTCATTCTGTTGATCTCCAATATGCCTACTGTCTTCTGCAACAAAAGTAACGGCAAAAACAAATTAGGTAGTATGCAATTTGTTACTTCTCAAAATTACAGATTAGGGAAATGAAAACAGTTTACCTTGTCTAGTCTTTGAAGGTTCGTAAAAAGAAAACCCCACAATTTTACCGTACCATCAAAGGCACTAACGAGGCTCATAATAAGATTCACATTTGGATCCACTTCGTCTACACGAGCCTGTTTGCAAACAAAAATAAATACGTAGTATAACATAGAAATCGATAAGCATAAAATATGTATGTCGTTTTCTACCTACTTTGGCTAATGCCGCTCTAGACCGCAGATCTGCCTCAAATTCCTTCAGATACTTTATTTGCTCACAACATTCGTTGCAGGAACACACCTTGGAAAAATCAGATTCGGGCGGAAATAATACACGAGCATCTATCTCCTCTTGTTGCATCGTCAGTTCTTCAAAATATTCTTGGAAAGCATCCATAGTTGTGATAGATGTTAGGATTTGGGCCCCGCGGGTCGTCACACGGGAAGGAAGGGGAATAGCTCGCGCACAGAATAAGACCTTGAACATGTTTACTTCACACGTTATTAAACGGTGCTTATTAAGACCCGTATTAATAAGCGGCGCATAAAATAAACAATGTTGTAAGACCGTGTTTACTTCAAACGGTTTAAAACACCGCTTAACATTAAAATGTCCAAAATAACCCTATACATATATATACACACAAACATTCATGAACACAAGTATATAATATAATATGTGTACCCATACCCCTAACCCCTTACCCACCCTACCTTACCCCGACCCCACCCACCGCCTACCCCCACCCCCTACCCCTACCCTATCAGGACACAAGAATATGATTGTAAATTAATGATGACTCACGATGCAAAATTCTGATGGTAACCCAATGATTAGCACTCATTCCATGATACATTAATTCATATATATATGCTACGAATAAATATTTGATTGATTAAACAGGGTATTAAAATCTAGGAATGAGTATTGAACATACATTCTTTATACTCATAATCGGACGTGCGTATGATTAATGAATTATATAAACAGATGTATGCTCAGTGCTCTCCAAACGCAAACAGAGTATCAAGCATGAATGAAAGTAAATTCATGATTCTCCAATTAATCAATTATATACGAATCACGCATGCTCAAACATAAATTACAGAAGGAAAGGCAGAGATAGTTCCCGTAGCTCTGATACCAAATGAAAGAACAGGCTGATCTAAACATGTCAAAACCTCATAGAACACATTCAGATCAATACAACAATTAGCGGAAGCAAAATATGGAATTACATACCTCCAGCCATCTCCTTGAAGATCACAATGAACTGCCCTAGATGTTTTGCTCTTCCAAGCCCTTCTCTTCACTCAATTAGATGGTGTGTAAAACTGATAGTGAGGAGCAGACTCAGGGATGCCAAAACAAGAGCCAATCGGCCGCTATTTAACGAGCTCTTCCCATCAAGGAGCTCCCATCGTGCGGCAAAAGAATAGGGAGAAGTTACCGATCTTCTCTCTCGCTAATAAGTTTTTCATGAATAATTAATATTTAATATTAATTAAAACCTCCGTAACTAATACGGGAAAAACTAACACTCGGTTCTTTTTTAGTTGTCACATTTGTGAATTTTGCACAATTCACATATCTACTTTAACTACATTTTATTTCTTAATGTATTATAAATTATTATTTTGAAAATTATTTGTTAATTCCCTCTCGTTTAACATTTTCAAGTCTTATATTTTTGATTTTTTTAGTAACAAAAATGATATTCTGTATATGTTAATGGATAAACATTTGTGTTAGCAAATGTGAATAGTAGACTGTTCCAATTTAAAGAGACGAAGGAAGTATATATCTCAAAATTTAAACGTTTTAGGGCAACTTTAAGAATTTATTAATGATTAATAAAGATTTGAGTATTTATTGAATAATTCGAACATAAACCTATTAATGAGTATAGCTTAAACTTTAACATTCAATATTGGTATGAATTAAAATACTCTTATAAAATTATAAAACTAATCAGAAAAAAGATGGTTGTATATAATACTACCTCCGTCCCTTTTATATTGGGACGGAAGAGGGTGACACGATTATTAAGAAAAATGGGTTTGTGTGGTTAATATTAATTGATAAAGTAAGAATAAAGTAAGAATGATTGAGAGCGACACAAACTTTACCAAATATGGTATGAGACAATTTAGTGGGATATCCCGAAAAGGTAAAACGGGACAATATAAGGAGGGCGGAGAGAGTAACTAATACGTATTTCCAATTTGAAATCACTCTCTAATCTTTAATTCTATCTTTAATCATTATAAATTTATAATGACTTAACTCTATTTCATAATGTACTGAAAAATTCAATAATTGATCAAATAGATTTACAAAACTGATAAAATAATACACAATTCCACAAAGTCACATAATAATACCATGTTTAATAAATGAAAAACAATAAAATCGCTTCAGGCCCTCTCCGTTCAAATAGATTTACAATGGTTCACAAAATATTTTTTTTTTCAAATTATGTAATGTTTCAAGAGAAAAAGGTCTAAAAGAGTTTAGATTTTAAAGTATATTTGGAGCATGGATAGCGGGAGGCGGCGCAGCTGATGGGCTGGCACTACAAGAAATGTTACATTTCTTGACACACATTTTTGTTGACACACAAAAAAGTGTCACAATAACTAACATATATTAACACTTTTGTGTGACAAGATAACTATTCCATTTCAATTTGAGTTTATATTATAACTACGTATTATTTAAGTATACACATGACACACCAATTTTAAAAATTTATACCCATAAGATAAGAAAAAGAAGTTTAAACACTTCAAAATTTCCTAGATGGCATTGCAGGGGTCCGTCTTAATAAATCTTAATAACTAAGCTCTTGGCCGATTGGTTATCCATTTTAAGAAAGAGAATACTCGTTGCTTTTGGCCGGAACAGAACAACCGAACAATGACCTAAGCTCTTCAATCGGTACTTTTGGCCGGACTGCTCAAGAGCATAGCGCCATCGCAGACTCCATATCTGGCATCATAAAAAGTCGTAGAAGATCATCCTCAACTCCTCAATCATCCTTATATGCGGATTTGTGCCATCGCAAAACTTCCATCGAATTTCCTCCTAAATTGGTATTTCTGTCACTTTATGATTGCTTAATTTCTATTTGATAGTATACCTACTCAACTGATGCTATCATAATATGGATGCTTAATTGATCTAATTTTAAATATTGGTGCTCGTATTAAGAAGAGGTGTTTGTATTTAACGTATTTGCGCTTTCGCAGACTCAATTACATAGGTGTAGTAATTGATCTTCTGTTTAACATGTTAATATTTAGCATATTCTATTTGTGCCTTAGCAACCTCAATATTTAACTTTGAATAGCAATATCTGATCTATGGCTCTTTAGTTTGTTGCAAGATGGATTGTCTATTTTATGGATTTATATAGATGTGTTTAGTTTTATGTATACCCGAATTGGCAGATTTGGACTTCATTATTTGATAAATTGTTCAACGGAACAGTAATATCGATTTAGAATCCTCAAAATAATAATTTTTTTGTGTATTGATCTAATAAAAAAAACATTATTAGCAAATTTCATTTATGTAAGTTGTACACTTGCGCCTATAAATGCACCCATAGGATGTACAACGCCGAATAATCAGCATTCCATCTTTCATGCTTACACTGTAAAAGAGTTTCTCGATATTAATAGAAAGAGAGTTCATTATTCGATATATCTTCCGATCATTGTTTGAATCTCTATTTTCTTTGTATCAATGAAATTCATTCTGTAGCTGATAGATTATCACACATTGTTTGGGACCAACAACTAGTATCAGATCCGATCGAGTGAAGATCATCTGCGAAGAACTGCGAAGAAATGCTCTGTTTTCTGCTTTTCCATATTTTCGCATTTTAGCCTCTATAACCTTGTTTTTTATCCAATCCCTGTAAACGATATACTGTTAGAATCGCCTCTCAGAACCGATCAAGCAGTATATCTTCATTTTCGTGGGTGAAGTTTATTTATGACCGGAAGGAGTAATAAATAAGAAAATCCATAAATTTTGTTCAATTATTCTCTAATTAATGCTGCTTATGTTCATATTGAGAAAAGAGATCCAGAGCATGATTAAAGAAGAAAAATCATATCTTCTTATGTAAGAGTGGCACTTCTCTAAAGGGCAATTCAGAATACCCCGAATGACAAATTTCTTATTGATGGCTTCCCTCGCGATGAAGAAAACCATGAAGCTTTTCAACGCATTGTGGGAAGCGTATATACTACAACGATGAGCATTGAATCAATTTTGATTAGCATCGAGCCTATTCTTTTGAGTATTAGAAGCCTAACGATGAGCATTAGTGATATCTGCTTCATTCCTCATATATCACATTCCGTTTATTATTTTATCATTTATTACAGTCTTAAATTACGTCTACAATCAATTTCATTTATTTTCAATATGTGAATCTAATGGATTATGATATGTTTAACAAGTGCAACCTTTTAAAATGAGCATAAAACAGTACCAAATGAGCATACATAACTTACAAAATGAGTATCAAAATATTAAAAAACTCATTTGTGTGTGCTCATTCATTTTGGGTGTGGTAATCTTTTGAGTTTAACATAAAACTCATTTTGAAATATGCATGAATATGACATTTTAAATTGAGTATTGCACTAATATCAAATGAGTATACATTAATTACGAAATGAGCATTCATAAAAACTCATTTGAAATGTCTATTATGCTCATATTTTCATTTGTTATGCTCATACCATAAGTGACCGAACTCCCTCATCTAACTTGGGTAAGAAAAAGAGAAAAAGGAAGAATCCAGAGCAAGAAAGAGGGAGAAGAAGCAACTAGGGCTATACACCAAGAGACCCGCCACAGGAGCCGCCGCTAAAACCAGAGTTTTAGGCGTTGCGCTCGTGCAGGAGGGTTGTGGCTGTCGAGAATTGTCAGCGGTGTAGGCGACAAGCGAAGGACGACAATCTGCGAATTGCGATGGAAGTCTGCGAAGAGCGATGGGAGCTCTGCGAACTGCGATAGAAGCCTGCGATTTGCGATGAAACCCTGCGATTTGCGAAATAAAAGGCCGGTTGTACCGTGCGCACGGTACAGTCAGCTGTACCATGTAATTTACCCGCATTGTGATTCCTTTATCTATTTTTCTTCTTATATGAGATAAAAATTGAATTTTAAGTTTGTGTCCTTTTCAGGGCCGGTCCTGAGATTTTGAAGGCCCTGTGCGAAATTAAATAAAAAGGCCCTAAATTATAAAAAAATATTACCTCCATATCAATGTTAAAGTTAAATCCTCTCTATTGATAATTAATTCAATTCTAATATGGAGTAATTAAATTTACATATTCAGAAACTACATTAAAATTTCTACAATGCTCCAAAATCCAAGATAAAATTTAAATAAGAATTAATATCCCGATTAAGTGAATAAAGTCAAT